GCCAAACTTCGTGGAAATCGGATGAGATTTGACCAAGTTATGGGGGTGGTAATTTTTGACCCATGTCTATATACGAATCTTGGGGTAAGATTTGGACATGAATTTCGACCAAACAATCGGTGTCGAGATTTGAATGCCACATTAATCTAGAGGGAAAACCATGAAGAAAAAGCCAAACTTCGTGGAAATCGGATGAGATTTGACCAAGTTATGGGGGTGGTAATTTTTGACCCATGTCTATATACGAATCTTGGGGTAAGATTTGGACATGAATTTCGACCAAAAATCGGTGTCGAGATTTGAATGCCACATTAATCTAGAGGGAAAACCATGAAGAAAAAGCCAAACTTCGTGGAAATCGGATGAGATTTGACCGAGTTATGGGGGTGGTAATTTTTGACCCATGTCTATATACGAATCTTGGGGTAAGATTTGGACATGAATTTCGACCAAAAATCGGTGTCGAGATTTGAATGCCACATTAATCTAGAGGGAAAACCATCAAGAAAAAGCCAAACTTCGTGAAAATCGGATGAGATTTGGCCGAGTTATGGGGGTGGTAATTTTTGACCCATGTCTATATACGAATCTTGGGGTAAGGTTTGGACATGAATTTCGACCAAAAAATCGGTGTCGAGATTTGAATGCCACATTAATCTAGAGGGAAAACCATAAAGAAAAAGCCAAACTTCGTGGAAATCGGATGAGATTTGACCGAGCTATGGGGGTGGTATTTTTTGACCCATGTCTATATACGAATCTTGGGGTAAGATTTGGACATGAATTTCGACTAAAAAATCGGTGTCGAGATTTGAATGCCAGATTAATCTAGAGGGAAAACCATGAAGAAAAAGCCAAACTTCGTGGAAATCGGATGAGATTTGACCGAGTTATGGGGGTGGTAAATTTTGACCCATGTCTATATACGAATCTTGGGGTAAGATTTGGACATGCATTTCGATTAAACAATCGGTGTTCAGATTTGAATGCCAGATTAATCTAGAGGGAAAACCATGAAGAAAAAGCCAAACTTCGTGGAAATCGGATGAGATTTGACCAAGTTATGGGGGTGGTAATTTTTGACCCATGTCTATATACGAATCTTGGGGTAAGATTTGGACATGAATTTCGACCAAAAAATCGGTGTCGAGATTTGAATGCCACATTAATCTAGAGGGAAAACCATGAAGAAAAAGCCAAACTTCGTGGAAATCGGATGAGATTTGACCAAGTTATGGGGGTGGTAATTTTTGACCCATGTCTATATACGAATCTTGGGGTAAGATTTGGACATGAATTTCGACCAAAAATCGGTGTCGAGATTTGAATGCCACGTTAATCTAGAGGGAAAACTATGAAGAAAAAGCCAAACTTCGTGGAAATCGGATGAGATTTGACCAAGTTATGGGGGTGGTAATTTTTGACCCATGTCTATATACGAATCTTGGGGTAAGATTTGGACATGAATTTCGACTAAAAAATCGGTGTCGAGATTTGAATGCCACATTAATCTAGAGGGAAAACCATGAAGAAAAAGCCAAACTTCGTGGAAATCGGATGAGATTTGACCAAGTTATGGGGGTGGTAATTTTTGACCCATGTCTATATACGAATCTTGGGGTAAGACTTGGACATGAATTTCGACCAAAAAATCGGTGTCGAGATTTGAATGCCACATTAATCTAGAGGGAAAACCATGAAGAAAAAGCCAAACTTCGTGGAAATCGGATGAGATTTGACCGAGTTATGGGGGTGGTAATTTTTGACCCATGTCTATATACGAATCTTGGGGTAAGATTTGGACATGAATTTCGACCAAAAATCGGTGTCGAGATTTGAATGCCACATTAATCTAGAGGGAAAACCATCAAGAAAAAGCCAAACTTCGTGAAAATCGGATGAGATTTGGCCGAGTTATGGGGGTGGTAATTTTTGACCCATGTCTATATACGAATCTTGGGGTAAGGTTTGGACATGAATTTCGACCAAAAAATCGGTGTCGAGATTTGAATGCCACATTAATCTAGAGGGAAAACCATAAAGAAAAAGCCAAACTTCGTGGAAATCGGATGAGATTTGACCGAGCTATGGGGGTGGTATTTTTTGACCCATGTCTATATACGAATCTTGGGGTAAGATTTGGACATGAATTTCGACTAAAAAATCGGTGTCGAGATTTGAATGCCAGATTAATCTAGAGGGAAAACCATGAAGAAAAAGCCAAACTTCGTGGAAATCGGATGAGATTTGACCGAGTTATGGGGGTGGTAAATTTTGACCCATGTCTAGATACGAATCTTGGGGTAAGATTTGGACATGAATTTCGACCAAAAAATCGGTGTTCAGATTGGAATGCCAGATTAATCTAAAGGGAAAACCATTAAGAAAAAGCCAAGCTTCGTGAAAATCGGATGAGATTTGACCGAGTTATGGGGGTAGTAATTTTTGACCCATGTCTAGATACGAATCTTGGGGTAAGATTTGGACATGCATTTCGACTAAAAAATCGGTGTTCAGATTTCAATGCCAAATTAATCTAGAGCGAAAACCATGAAGAAAAAGCCAAACTTCGTGAAAATCGGATGAGATTTGGCCGAGATATGGGGGTGGTAATTTTTGACCCATGTCTATATACGAATCTTGGGGTAAGATTTGGACATGAATTTCGACCAAAAAATCGGTGTCGATATTTGAATGCCAGATTATTCTAGAGGGAAAAACATGAAGAAAAAGCCAAACTTCGTGAAAATCGGATGAGATTTGACCGAGTTAGGGGGGTGGTAATTTTTGACCCATGTCTATATACGAATCTTGGGGTAAGATTTGGACATGAATTTCGACCAAAAAATCGGTGTCGAGATTTGAATGCCACATTATTCTAGAGGGAAAACCATTAAGAAAAAGCCAAGCTTCGTGAAAATCGGATGAGATTTAACCGAGTTATGGGGGTGGTAATTTTTGACCCATGTCTATATACGAATCTTGGGGTAAGATTTGGACATGAATTTCGACTAAAAAATCGGTGTCGAGATTTGAATGCCAGATTAATCTAGAGGGAAAACCATGAAGAAAAAGCCAAACTTCGTGGAAATCGGATGAGATTTGACCGAGTTATGGGGGTGGTAAATTTTGACCCATGTCTAGATACGAATCTTGGGGTAAGATTTGGACATGAATTTCGACCAAAAAATCGGTGTTCAGATTGGAATGCCAGATTAATCTAAAGGGAAAACCATTAAGAAAAAGCCAAGCTTCGTGAAAATCGGATGAGATTTGACCGAGTTATGGGGGTAGTAATTTTTGACCCATGTCTAGATACGAATCTTGGGGTAAGATTTGGACATGCATTTCGACTAAAAAATCGGTGTTCAGATTTCAATGCCAAATTAATCTAGAGCGAAAACCATGAAGAAAAAGCCAAACTTCGTGAAAATCGGATGAGATTTGGCCGAGATATGGGGGTGGTAATTTTTGACCCATGTCTATATACGAATCTTGGGGTAAGATTTGGACATGAATTTCGACCAAAAAATCGGTGTCGATATTTGAATGCCAGATTATTCTAGAGGGAAAAACATGAAGAAAAAGCCAAACTTCGTGAAAATCGGATGAGATTTGACCGAGTTAGGGGGGTGGTAATTTTTGACCCATGTCTACATACGAATCTTGGGGTAAGATTTGGACATGCATTTCGACTAAAAGATCGGTGTTCAGATTTGAATGCCACATTAATCTAGAGGGAAAACCATTAAGAAAAAGCCAAGCTTCGTGAAAATCGGATGAGATTTGACCGAGTTATGGGGGTGGTAATTTTTGACCCATGTCTATATACGAATCTTGGGGTAAGATTTGGACATGAATTTCGACCAAAAAATCGGTGTCGAGATTTGAATGCCACATTATTCTAGAGGGAAAACCATTAAGAAAAAGCCAAGCTTCGTGAAAATCGGATGAGATTTAACCGAGTTATGGGGGTGGTAATTTTTGACCCGTGTCTATATACAAATCTTGGGGTAAGATTTGGACATGAATTTCGTCTAAAAAATCGGTGTCGAGATTTGAATGCCAGATTAATCTAGAGGGAAAACCATGAAGAAAAAGCCAAACTTCGTGAAAATCGGATGAGATTTGGCCTAGATATGGGGGTGGTAATTTTTGACCCATGTCTATATACGAATCTTGGGGTAAGATTTGGACATGAATTTCGACCAAAAAATCGGTGTCAGGATTTGAATGCCACATTAATCTAGAGGGAAAACCATGAAGAAAAAGCCAAACTTCGTGGAAATCGGATGAGATTTGACCGAGTTATGGGGGTGGTAAATTTTGACCCATGTCTAGATACGAATCTTGGGGTAAGATTTGGACATGAATTTCGACCAAAAAATCGGTGTTCAGATTGGAATGCCAGATTAATCTAAAGGGAAAACCATTAAGAAAAAGCCAAGCTTCGTGAAAATCGGATGGGATTTGACCGAGTTATGGGGGTAGTAATTTTTGACCCATGTCTATATACGAATCTTGGGGTAAGATTTGGACATGAATTTCGACCAAAAAATCGCTGTTCAGATTTGAATGCCACATTAATCTAGAGGGAAAACCATGCAGAAAAGGCCAAACTTCGTGAAAATCGGATGAGATTTGACCGAGTTATGGGGGTAGTAATTTTTGACCCATGTCTATATACGAATCTTGGGGTAAGAGTTGGACATAAATTTCTACTAAAAAATCGGTGTCGAGATTGTAATGCCACATTAATCTAGAGGGAAAACCATGAAGAAAAATCCTGTATCATATATATATTCTATTTTAGAAGCTATATGTCAAGTTTGGTGACTCTAGCTCTTATTATTTACCAAAATTGCCCAAAAAACAGGATATCGATATCGATATCGATATCGATACCCATTTTTAATTGGTTCAGGGTATAAAAAGCTACCTTCAACCGGTGGCGGCTGGAGAGGGCGAGGGGGAGGGGAGTCTAGTTTTTGGGGGCTTACCTCTTGTTTGGTGATATAGATGGGTTTATTAACTATTATCCAGACGGTGCTCTCCCAGCAGCCCGGATGCGTGGTGGATCCCTCGTACGTAATATAATGATCCGTATTCGGCAGCAGCGATCGCACCGATATGTGCCGAATGGGCGTCGAGAAGCCTACGGAATAAAAGAGAGAGAAGTGAAGGGAAGAGTAGAAAAGAGAAGAGAAGAAAGAAAAAATGTAGATGCTTGGAAAGGCAAATCAGACAATACGAGACTACGAAATCAAAGCAAAAAGCTAACAAAGTTATTTCCATTCCTTCGGTTTACTGTTTGAACTAGTGTGGCGACTGCTAGTTCCATATGGTGAACAAGTTCAATAGTTCATTTGCGAATCGTGAACCAAATCGTCTCTATTCAGTCGTAAATGATTCGCTTTGTTCACAAAACAAGTTTCCGCTCGGAACTAGTATATGATCTTTTAGTTCAATTTGGTGAACAAGTTCAATAGTTCTTTTGCGAGTCATGTGCTAAGTCGGTCATTCAATTGGTTATGAACAATTTATTTTCTTTAGTCTGCAAACCTAACATTTTGGTCTTTCGGTTATAGTTCAATTTGGTGAACTAGTTCAATAGTTCATTCCATAGTGAGTGATTCATTCTGTTCGGACTGCAAGCCTACAAACTATTTTGTTGTCATCATCTTTTACAGGGTATATGAAGCAAAGTTCAAGGTGCATCTGCCATTTAAATGGCGGCGCACATTTCACTATGTCTTGCTATTTATGCGCTTGGAATGTGAATGCAAAACGTCGACGATACGAAAAGACCTAATGAATAATTCAGACTAGCCCCAGAGGGCAGCAGCAGCTGGGCAAAGGGCGGCGAAGGGGGCTGGTGTTTGATGAGCGGAAGCGGGGCGAGGTGGGAGTGTGCTAGAAGGGAGGGGTGGGTCTGATTTGTTGGTTGCCTTCTTGTTGGTCACTTGAACGACGGCGCTCGACTTCATTCATACAAATCATTATGCCCAGCCGGAAATGAAGCGCCTCGCGGTTTATGAGACGTCGGCAAATGGAACTAAAAAACGCGAACGGAATGCGGGGGGGCTGAGTGGGGGCTGTTGGGCGGTAGTAAGGAGCTGAGAATAGGGGCTGGTGAGAGGTAAGGCATACCGAAAAATTATTCGCAGCACAATTGTAAGTTCGTGTGCGACGTGCAACGACGAGCATTTACACTAGATGAAAAAACAAATATCGATAGCAAATTATCGATAAAAAGGAAAGAAAGAGAAATAAAAACATTATAAATGTTTTACCTAAAGTGCTTTAAACTATCGATATAAACGAAATTATCGAACAATGCTTTTATCGATAGCTCGAAAAAATTAAGTTCCTGGTTGTAATTGAACAACAATCGATAACAAATCGATACTATCGATAATCATAAATGAGAATAAAACTAAGAATTCCAAATACTTATTGCAAGCTTTAGCTAATGTCGAGCCTAAATGCTATACAAAGGCTTTGCAAGTGGTTTAGGCTAAGGATGGACGAATTTATCGATAGTTTTATTGTTATCGATAGAGAAAACTGATAAATGAAATTAGCTTAATCAAAACGAATGTTGTTTATTTGTAGTTCATATAGCAATAGTTTTAGGATTTTATATACTTGAAGATTCGGAATCGATAACTTTTTCGATAAATTTATTTAATATTTTATCTATTCAACTGAAATACTCATTTGCACTTTCGCTGCGAGCTCATGAAAAGTGCAATTCCCTTTCGATGTGTCCATTTTCGTTTTCTGATTCCGATTCTTCTTTAACAATAGCTTCGAGCGCTTTGTTAGTGTATTTCGCATTCGTTGCTCGGACTTTGCTTTTGGCGCAGTTAAACTTTCAAGTTGTTTTGCCAGCTGGTTCACAGAAATTGGCCGCATATTTTGAGTCGTTTTACAAGTCCAAAACCAAGGCGAACGGGCTAAAGGAAACTTCTTGAGGGTGGGGGAAAGGAGCTGTTTTTTTTTCCTACTCCCGTTTTTGTAGTTTTACCTTTTGATGGGGCTACATAAAGTTGTACGACCTGTAAAAAGGCTATTAAACTGGGTCGGCTAGAAGTTGGGCTGGGAATTATTAAGTGTCGGTTTAGTGTAATTCGAGGTTTCATTTTCGTCACTTTGCGCGGCGCGGCGTGGCGCGGCGCCAATTTCGCGGCCAACGGCTGTCGAGCAATTTTTATGGCTCACTTTAGGACGTTGCCGCACATAATTATGCAGCTTGTTGTTGCCAACACAATTGTTGCAGTCGCAGTTGCAGTTTCTGCTGCGGAATGACATCATAAAAGAGCTCGCCGCATAGCCACGAGCCACGAGCCGCGAGCCGTGAGCCGCGAGCCATGAGCCAGGCAAACGTTGCAACATTTCCGGTGCATTTTGCGTAACGGAAATGATGTTGCCACGCCCCACCAGCCTCGCCCTGCCAGCTGAAGCCCAACTGGAGAATTCATCAAACGCAATTCAACTCAACTGTACGTGAAAGAATGCTGACAACTTATGCCAAAATGCAGCTAGTGATGGGCGTGAGTCGTGTCGTGACACGAGTTGTAGCAAAAGAGTGCATGGAACTTGTTTGAATAGATTGCGATTAGAGCTTGAACTAGAGAAGGGAACACTGCACGGAAAACGTATGCCAAAGTGCGGATAGAGATACGCGTGAGTCGTGTCGTGACACGAGTTTTAGCAAAAGAGTGCATGGAACTTGTTTGATCGGATTGCGATTAGAGCTCGAACGAGAGAAGTGAGAGAAGTGCAGCTAGAGATGCACTAGAGACGTGTCGTGACACGAGGGGCTTTCAATTGGATTGGATTGTAATGAACTATTTAATGAAAAACTGCACGGAATGCCAAAGTGCAGCTAGAGATGCGCGTGAGTCGTGTCGTGACACGATACACTGGACTCGAAATTCAACCCGAACTAGAGATATCAGCCAATGTTTTAAAAAGCGGAACTAACACGTAATGTTTATGGTCGTGGCACGACGAACTTGTGCTTTAAGAGTTGCTTTACGAATAAGTCGTACCGATACTATCGGCATAGTTTTTGACAAATATATGTATGTACAGTCTAGACAAAGCCATGAAACATCTAGAGATCTCGTGACACGAAGACATAATACGCTTTATTTAAACAGTCGCAGATAAATATGAAGAGCTTCATTTAGGCAAGAATTGTTGGTAAAAGTTGCTTTACGACTGCGTAATTGATGTAATTAAAATAACTCGTGCCGATACTATCGGTTAGGGGTGGGTACTCACCTTTATAGAGCACCTTGTTGAATGTGCTTGTTATGATGCGCAGCTCGGGATTGGGCGTTTCGCCAATTTGCACCATCAACGAGAGCCCGACAATGCCCTGTGATTTATGCTGCGCCTCGGACATGTTGTGGTACAGCTCCTTGTTGAAGCCATAGATTTGTATCTGTATCCGTGTGTGTGTGTGTGTGTGTGTCCGTGTGTGTGAGTGTGAATATGTTACAACATTAATATTGCTGCTGGTTGGTCGGGCGGGACTGGCCCGACGCTGATTGACTTACCTCGCCCGGGAAACTGTAGCCCTGTATGAAGTGCTCGGAGCCGCGACTGTTCTCGGTGCCGTAGTGTATGTAAATCTCCTCGAATTGGTAGCGATAGGCCAAAGGACCTCCGGATATGTTCACGTGCTGCTTTGTGTCCTTGTCCACGCGAAAGACGAGTGATTGACCCGTGTTGTGCAGCGTGCCGGAAACCTGTTGACGACACTCGGTGTTAGTCAAACAGAGAGAACGGTAGAGAGCGGCATAAAGCGGTAGAGAACGGAGGGCTGAGTCCTTTCCGGTGGGGTCGGGCTTACCTTGTGCTTATCAATGTGCAGCGGTCGCAGGTACGGATCGAAGAGCAGCTTGTCGGGCACCACATCAATGGGCGACTGGCGGCGTCCTTTGTTGCACATATTCCACTGCGGATTGATGAGGCCCCAGAAGCTGGGACCTGCAAGTAACAAATGTCGAAACAAAAATTGATCAAAAAAACAATAAATAATTAATAAAGCAGCCAGTAGTCGACTAGCGGATGCTCTATCTGTAGGTAGTTGTTAACTGAGCTCGAAAATTAAATAGTTCTATGGCTAACAAAAGTCCACCTGACAAAATTTCCAGCTCTAGCCCTAATCGAACTTGAGTTTCTTATATGATAAAGAGTGTCATAGCAGCCAGCTTTTGCCAACCGCAGAGCTGGGAAAGTTAAAGCTAAACGCATTTGGAACTCTGTAGAGAAGCTACAGTCGAGACTTGCCAAAGATCGAGCCCAGCTTGTGTGCACTACAGGGTACAGGTACAGGTGTGATATATATAAGATAAAAAGTGTCATAGCAGCCAGCTTTTGCCAACTGCTTTGTTAATTGCAGAGTTATGGAAACCTTAAATTCAATAGGAACTCTCGAGAGAAGCTTCATTCGAGACTTGCCACAGATTGTGCACATTATTTGTACAGGGTATACAAGGTGTGATATATATGATAAAAAAGTGTCATAGCAGCCAGCTTTTGCCAACTGCTTTGTTAACTGCAGAGCTATCGAAACCTAAAAATCTCTCGAGAGAAGCTTCATTCGAGACGAGACCAAATAAACGTGCCCAGCTTGTGTGCACTTTATTTGTACAGGGTATACAAAGGACCTGAATGATAGCTGCCAGTTTGACTGACTGTCAATCGGTTGTCCTCGCAGCACTGCTGGGCAAATGGAAATCGAGTTGTCGACCCCTCGATCCCCTCACATCCAGCCGAATTGCAAACAACAAGTCGACAGTTCAAACACCAAATGAAATTTCATAAGCTCCTCCTGCTCGCACCGTTCGGCTCGGCTCGTCTGTCTGTCAGTTTAAATAGCAATTAAATGATACCAAATGGGTAGTTGCCGCGCCCACCACCTACACTTAACCCGGAGCTGACCCACCCTGCCCCCTGCCCCCCTGACCTCAGCCTAGGTAAGCGATAGTTGGCGCTGCGTATGTTGTTTTGCCCGAGCTGCGAAATGTTCAATTTGATGTGATGGACAGAAAACTGTCGAAACTTTTCAAAACAACAAACCTCTCCCTTCCCCTGTCAGCCCTCTGTAAGAGGAGTGTGAAGGGGGGCGTGGGTGGGGGGGGTGGTAGAGCGGGGGTTGACCATATGGAAAAAATTAAATATTTTCTGCTGTTGCATTTTTTCGCAATCCAAATACGGAAAAAAAAGCAAGAAAAATAATTAAGAGTGCGCTAGTCGGACGTGCGCGACTAGCCGATACCCTGGGCCCTCTGCTTCTTCTTTCTTTAAGCCCCATTAAGGTTTTCCGCGCATTCCTTTATAACTCTGTCGTTTGAACTCAGATCTTTTTCAAGGCTTAACTAAGGCACAGAAAAGTGCGTGCATACCCAAGCACAAGTCTTTGTGGAACGTGGGGAGTTTTTGCATAACTCCGAATAATATATTCCCCATCTGTTTATACTATTGATAAGGTATCTCATTTCTATTGTCTTCGAGTTAAGCTTAAGTAATTAATAGTAATAAATATTATTAATAGTAATAAATTAAATATTAAAGTTTCAGAGATAGACGGCCATCTTTGATCAACATATTTTATACTCTCACTCAACTCTTTCCAGAGTTGATTTCGTAGGCTCATCCACAAAACCTGACAAATTTAATGAGCTGCACAGAAACCCGAAGCGGAATGTATTTTTTCCCGATTTTCGCTATGAGCGGGTGCTGAGGTAGACCCGGTAGACCTCATTTTAGAGGGTGTGCCTATGAACTACCTCAGAATGCTGGCAATGTGAGAGAGAGAGAGGGAGTGAGTAGCTGTGCTGTGTGTATATATTGATGATAAGTGACACAACATACACACACACACACACACACACACACACACACACACACACACACACACACACACACACACACACACACACACACACACACACACACACACACACACACACACACACCCTCTCACAGGCACACCCTGCTCCTAGGCATTAAATGGCAAAGTTTAAAAAGCGCCGCGTGTCAGCGCAACTTTTGTGGCTCCCTGCCACGCCTCCCCCATGCTGCATGCTGCTGTTGATGCTCATTTTGTGTTTGCATTCATTCACTCACTCACTCACTCATTTACTCACCCATTCATTTATTCACTTATTCATTCGTTTTGTTGCCAGTTTTGTTTTTGGTTTGTCTGTCAAGTGGCTCTACCTCTGGCCTTGCTGCTGCCCTGCCGCTGCCCCTGTCTTTGCCCCTGGTGCATAAATAAAACTGCGTCCTGCTGCAACCTGCAACAAAAATGGCCACCGACCCGGTCGGCATAGGCCGCGCCCCGTACAGCCCACGCACAACTCGTTGCAACTCGGGAGCATTATCCACAAATATGTTGCCGTTTATTTTATTTATTTTCCTCACTTTCATATTTAATTTGCGCAAACCAATTCAATCGGATTACATGACAAATAGCAGTCTCTCTCTCTGTCTCTCTCTCTTTCTCTCTCTCTTTCTCACTCTCTCTCTCTCTGTCTCTCTCTCTTTCTCTCTCTCTCTCTCTCTCTCTCTCTCTCTCTCTCTCACTGTCTATCTCTCTATATCTCTATATCTATATCTGTATCTGTAGCTGTATCCATATCTATATCTGTATCTGTGTCTGTATCTGTGTCTGTATCTCTATCTGTATCTGTATCTTCTTCATCTTCTGTTAACCTTCCTTCTCTTATTTTCTCTCCCATATCTTGCTTTGCATCTCTCTATTATATTGCTGTCCATGAATCTCCATCTTTATACATTTCCCACTCCATTTCTAATCAAATACTTGTACCTCCTTTTTAATACATTCGAGTTCCCACAAATGTTTCGAATGTTCAAAACTTATGAATGCATTTGTAAATCAGTTAAGCTTGAATGAGTTACATTTAAATATGATACGCCAAGTCGGGTTTTTATTCACTTTTTAACTCTGTTCATTTGCATTTGTTTGCTCAGGCATTTGAAATATTCGCTTGAGCTTAAACCGAGCACTTGGTATTTACAAAGGGCGGGAGTGACAAATTTATTCGCTCTATCGATTGAGTGCAGCGAGTATTTGCCACTCGTTACATTTGTTAACGAGTGAATGCATCGAGTGCTGCTCGCCAATGTCTGCAGAGTGTTTGTTCTTTCCACATTTTACGCACACTTTAAATTCAATTGGAATTTACTTCTGGATTCGAATAAATATGTAACTTACCGGAAATGCCATCGTATGTCCACCATTCCTCCCAGCTGGACAGGACCTCTGCGAATGGGAAAAGAAAAGAAAAAAATATTTCAGTCGAGAGACAAAAAGACAAGAACGAGAAATGCATTAATGTGCCAGGACTTTAAGCCAAGCCAAGCTCTACGCAAAAAAAGACTTCCTTATACCCCGTTGAAGAAATTTGTCTAGCAAAGTCTCATTTTACACGCTGGAGCCCCGTTAAGAGATGCAAAATGCAAAAAATGGTCGTCAATGACACCCGGATATAGGAACTAGGCGCTGGCAGGCCGTAGACCCCGTTTAGCCTTTGGTGGGAGGGAGAAGCGGCAAAGCAGTTGGCAGCCAAATCTTTGGCTTTTCAATGCGCATAATTCGCTGCCAATGTAAACAGCGCATGAAATCAACTAATGTAGGACTTCCCCTTTAGTGTGAGAAATGAGGCAGACAAAACAAGCAAAGCAGCTTCTCTTTTTGTTGCTGTTTCTCGCTGCTCGCTTCTCGCTTCTGGCGTCTCATGTCTCGCTGGCAGCCATCGAGACGCCATTGCGCGCCGGGCATGTCTGGGGGCTTCCTTCGCCAAATGCGTGTCGCATGAGTCAACACGGTTCAACATGCTTCTATTTCTGGATATGGATGTGCCACCGACTCCTGCTCCCCTCTCCAACTTGCCACTCCGACTCACCGACTCCGGCTCCGTCTCCGGCTGAGTTCTGGCAAACGTTGTCGCCAGTCGGTCGGGCGCCAATAAAGTTTACACTCAGTTGCCACATTTCGTTTATGGGCAAGTTCTGCTTCCGTTTTATCAAGCGACAGACAATTTTCGCTATTTTTCTTTCGGACCAACCCCCCTCAGCCCCGGCCCCAGTCCCATCCCCAATCTCTGCCCCGCCGTATTCAAAATTTATGCTATATGCGTTCTGCCGCAGCGGGTGAGCATACAGTCCACGGCGCAAGGCGTGCGGCTTATGGGGGGATGTAGGATGTAAAGTCTGCTCTGTTAGACGGAGAGGGAGAATGGGTGCCGTCGGCCGACGACTGTGGAAGGGGCGATGGGGGAAGGAAGGGGGGGGGGCAATAAAGCCAAAAGAAATTGCTGCAAGCCAAAGCGGAAGTTGAGAAAGGGAGTCGCTGAAATCGTTGCTGCTTCCTGCAGCTACCAGCTACAGCGTTATGCTATGTCTTCTTTTCAAATACCCTCACTCAGCGTGTCCCTCGACAATTTGAAGTGAACGAGAACTACTTGAAGAGGAAGATATATTTGTCAATAGCAAAATGTAGCTGCAGCTTATTAGCTAATGATTAGTCTTTGTTCGTTTAAACCCTCAACGTCGAGCTCCGTGTGCCAAATAAGGTCCCCAACTTATTATTTCGACCTTTCGACTGCAGCAAACTTCTTCAAACTTCTTCTCCTAAAGTCTTTTGCTGGAGCGTGTCGGTAAAAATATCGAAAGAGCTCGGTACTGCATAAGGTCTTGCTTTGCTTATAATGCAACCAAGCAAATGCCTAATCGCCCGTACTTCACTAGGTAGTAAATGTATAAAAAAGCCTGTCAGATGCAGCTACCCTGCAAACAGTTATCTTTCCAAACGGGTCCTCAAATGACTGCAGTACTTCATACCTAATGTTAGAAGATATTTACAGCTGATGGCGCAGAAGTTAATGCTGGTACCAGGCCGGTACGGCTCTATTTGAGAGGGTGCTGCATTGGCTCGAGCTTTTTATTATATTTATTCATAATATGGCACAAAAATCATTTCTGATAGTTTTAATTGAATAAAAATATCGTGAAATAACAATGGATAAAAATTGTATCCGGTACTGCAAAAGGTTCTTAGGCTATCGATTTACCCTACCATCGATGCTAGATTAGTAACAGGTTGTTTTAAAATAGTTTTTATGCCAATTAGACTGAGTTGGTATTCAGTTCGCATTATTTTGCTCTTATTATGGAAAAAACTGCCCGGTACGGCTCTTGGATGCTACCGTACAGTACCTTATATAGGAAAGGAACTCGATTGAGAGCACTTAACATATGAGAAAGTGTGCTTAACTAGCGTATTCCCACTTTATTTATAATGTATGTAAAGTATAAACTATATCAAGAAGGCTTTTAAAAGCAAAACGGACCTTTTCAGGCTCGGGGAAGGAAGGTAGGGCCCAAACGAATTTACAGGAATAAGTGCATGATGAGCGTTTTAAATTTGTTTGGGCAGTAGAGAGGGTATCAAGGCGGCGTTCTAAGACTAAGTAAGATTGTTTGAATTGTGGGTAAACTTGGGGAGAGGCGGTGGGCGGGGTGGTGCTGTGGTAGGCGGTTTGTCGTGTTGCTTTTCTTAAAATAACAATGAACGTCCGTTCGGTTGGATTCGCGAGTTGCCGTCACTTCATTTTGTTTGTTTGTCGCGTATTTTGTGGGATAGTTGTTCTTCTTGCTCTTCCTCTTCCTTGTGGCTCTTGTTCTTGCTCTTATTTTTGGCCAAGCCAAGCAAGTTCTGTTTCTGTTTCTGCTTTTGCTTCTGCTGCCTCTCCGCTTAGCGCTGCAAAGTATGCTATTAAATTGGCCTCGCAACCAAGTCAAACCGAAAAATAGCACAAAGCCCTCAATAAAAAACATTTGAGAATGTTTTACGGCATTTTGCAAGGGTCGGTTTTTAGCCCAGCCCCCCCACCACCGCTTCACTGGCCCACCCATTAGTCTGTAGTTTCTAGTCTCAATCCGATTCGTTTCATCTCTGATGATTCGTCAACAGATTGCACATTTTTAGCGGGTGCCTTGCCCCGGCCCCATAGCGAACCCTGGCCCCCTTCCCTGTTCCCTGCTCCATGCCCTGCGCCTTGAGTCATTTGGCAATTTGGTTTTTATGCTGCAACAGCAACTTAATTTATTGTTATAACAGTTTTTCGGGCCACATTCCCGGGGTTTTCTTATTTTGCTCGATCAATTCGATGGCCGGACCGAGTGTCGCCACTTTGTTGGATGCTTTATGAAGAGATTTGCCCGGCTTTCATTATCTATTCAAATGGCCTTCGTTTTGGGGTTGGCACTTCTTATTTTTTCTTTTTGCTGTGAATTCAACTTTTCAACTGTTATCGGGCGGGGTTTTGCCACTTGTATCCTAATTGACGTTCAACATTTGCGTCGATAATGCTCAAAACAATTTCGCCACAATTTCGCTTTTATGTGAGTTTCGCTTTTGTGGAAGCACAAGTTCTTTAAACCTTAATTGGTTTGTTTGCTTAGAAGTTTTCAAGTCGAAAGTCAAATTGGCTCAAAGTAGTCATGACTATTTCGCCCGAATTTCGCCTATCTTTTCGCCCGCATTTCGCCTTTTTATTTGTTCTAGCGAACAGTTCCTTCCTGGAATCTGTAGTTATTTAAACTACTTTGACTAATTGGCCTTTTGCTTAACTCTCTCTATATATGCTTTAAGCTCGAGTTTTATTGTCTCGCTAAAGAAATTACCCGGCGTTGCACGCGTCAAAGTAATTAGGTGGCAAATGCAAGCAAGCTAGCAAAATGATTTATCCATTCATCGACTGATACAAAGCCATTTAAGCTTTCCATTATTTATTGATAAACAAATAAATATTGAATTTAAATTAATAAATAATACATTTCTTGTTCTCCCTCCTTAAGAGGGAAAGGTAAGTAGCAGAATTGCAAACTTTGGCAAGATTTGAGCCGGCGACTTTCCGCTTGCTGGTTCGACTTTTGTTACCTAATTAGTTCGCCCCCTCACTGCTCCAATCGCAAAGTCATTTATTTGGCACAAATTTAATATGCAAGCTTAACAAAGTTTTGATGTTTATTTGGCTGTCTTGTCGTCGCTTTGAGCTACATTTTGTGTTAATCTCTTGTACGTTGTTTGGCAAACAAAAACTTTGCAATTATTCGAAATTCGTAATCGAGCCAGCCGCAAGGCGGGCAACAAAACAAAACTTAACGGCTTCTGCATATTGGTAATGTTGCCCGCCATGCGCCCGGCCTATCGATAACAAGAGCGTTGCGATGACTTAATTAAATAGTTGTCGTTGTTCTCGTTAAATCAAAATCAAAATCAAGCGCCTGGCGCCGCAAAGGGATCAAGAGTCGTAATGTGCTCCTTGATGGTGCTTGTTGCTGTTGTTTCTCAAAGCAAAGTGGCTATGAAATGACAACAAGAACAATAGTCACGCACACGCACACACACACGCACACACATTCATTTTCTATTTGTACAGTGTGTGTGTGTGCGAGTGTGTGTGCGTGTGTGTGTGTGCGAGTGCTTATAATGGCGTCGCGCATCAAAAGACAACACGCCCTCGTAGCTAATTCATATCCAGGTGCGGACTGCAGCTGAGCTCAAGGGGCCCAATCGGGGCCCAGTGTTCCGTAGCATGTTTGTTTTGAGTGTTGGTAAACGTATATTTGAGTTAAGGCTTATGCTTGATACCAAAAACAATTTGGAAATTTGTTAGCCTTTGCTAAAAGCTTAAATATTGTAAATATTGGAAAGTGTTGAGAGTGTAGAACGTGGTTTTTGGATTACATATAGATTTTATACAGTTGTACAACACTATGCCAGAAACAAAACAAATGCTGAGGCTGGCAAACCTTCTTTTTATAGACTCTCAAGTAATTGAATTATTTTCTGAGCTAAACTTAAATTTGTTTCTAACAAGCTACTGTTCTTAGCCTTTTTGAAAGGAGATTTGATGTCTTTTTATGGCTGCAATCAATATTCGCAACCTGCTCACACTTAAGTCTATTTGTGCCTATTCTTCTTCTTAAGTATACCTTACCCTGTCGCGAATTCTTGCAAGATGTAAACTCACAGAAGCGTAATATAATAAAAAACAAACACATATTTAAAGCTTTGAATCTTATCTTAGAAGACAAAAATAATATGAACAACATTTATTTGATCAATTTTTAAGAATTCTTTTTTACATGAGAATATCAGGAAAAGTTGAAGAAAAACTGCCAGACAGACAGATATTATTTGGGCATTGCTTTTGCCTGTTAAAATCGATAGATAAACGACTCAGTTATAGACTT